TGAACGAGAATTCAGTGCTGGCGGCAACATTCTAACCGACTTTCGAAGTTGTCTTAGCGCTGAATCTCTTGAAACACTTGTTTGCAACTAAGATTGGCTCTTGGCAAGACGTCGAGCTCAAGAGTCAACGTACCAACTCGAATCAGAGCATTACATGAATGCAACAATAGATGGAAGTCCGAGTTCTGAAGAATAAGTTATAATTTTTTTTGTTAATGTAAATATGTAATTAGTTTTTTTTAGCTGAGCGATATATAAGCTCCTTCGAGGGTTTCTTTACGGTTCTTTACCTCGTCGCTTTTTTTGAACCGTCAGGATATTAAATGTGGTTGTTCTTCAGTTAGTGTATTATTCATTTAAAATATTTAAATAACAACTACATTTTTAGATAACAACTACATTCCGGTACTTCATTCTTTCCTTAAACAATTGCAAATTTAAAATTTTATACTTAAAAATTTTAAAAAAAGCAAAAAAAAAATGGGGGGGGCGAAACCGGCCGGTCCGGGAACCGGAACCGGAACCGGAACCGGCCGGCACGGTGACGGTTCCGGTCACATGGGGTGGCGATACCGGAACCGGCGGTTCCGGAACCGGAACCGTACCGTGTCCACCCCTAATTGTAAGTATTTTGTGAAAAGAGAAAAAATGAAAGAGAAAGTGTTTTAAACAACGGAGAAAGTACTTGATGATGTGATTTTTATATCATCCATTATTTTAGATATTTAGATTTAGTTAAAGATAGGACTAATCAAGGATATGTACAGTGGGGCAACGACTAAGTTAAAGACCGACGGGGTGAATTTGAACCTTTTTCTGTAGGGATGGGTTTGCACAAGGGGTCTGTGCTTAGCCCTTTCTTGCTCACCTTGGTGATGGACATCCTGCTACGAGGAGTTCAAGAAGAAGTCTTGTGGTACATGCTTTTTGCGGATGATATGATTATGACACACGTGAGGAACTAAACGATAAGATTGAACTTTGGCGCTTTTCCCTAGAGACCAAGGGATTCAAACCCAGTAGGACCAAGACTGAATACATGGAATGCTATTTCAGTGGCCGGGAGACGGTTTTAGAGATAGAAGTTATGATTGACTCTCACTTAGTGCTCAAGGTTAGAAAAGTTTTGGTATCTTAACTCGGTCATTCAAGCAGATGGAGAGTTAGACGGAGATGTTGTGCATCATGTTGGAGAAACTTGGGCTAAGTGGAGGTTGGCTTTGGGGGTTTTGTGCAACAAGAAGATTTTACCCATGATAAAGGGTAAGTTCTACCGATCTGTAGTCAGACCAGCTATGCTCTATGACGGGGAGTCCTGGGCAGTTAAGAAGATTCACGTGGGTCGTCTATATGCGACAGAGATGCGAATGTTGCGGTGGATGTGTGGGCAAACAAGGCTGGATAGGATTTTGAATGAGATTATTCAAGGTCTGTTAGGCATGAGGCCAGTGGAAGATAAGCTCTGGGAAGCTAGGTTGAGGTGGTTCGGTCATGTGAGACGATGGATTGCCGACGCTCCATTGTGGAGAAGCGAGAGGCTTAGGTTGGTAGGTAGAAGTACGGGAAGGGGTAGATCTAAAAAGAGTTTGAAAGAAATGATTAGACTAGACTTGGGACTTCTTACCCTTAGTGAGGATATGATCTTAGATAAGAATGTTTGGAAGGATAAGATTAGAGAAGTTGGGTAGGTGTCTTGTGATAAAGGATGGTGTTGTTGTGTGCTTGGTATGCCTTTTATGATTGGTTCTATTTGCTTGCAATACTCTCCCTTCGTAATTTTAGTTTATTTTTCTGGGTGATGGGGGCTTTATTTGTATTTTATTTTTGTTTTCCATATTTTACGCATATGTTGGATCCTTCTCTTTGTGCAGCTTGAGCCGAGTGTCTTTTGGAAACAGGCTCTCTACTTAGGGTCATTATTAATTGTCGTATAAACAAAATTAGTTTATATGTCAAAAAACAAATTTAGTTTTTTATAAATTAGTTGATTAGGTGTAGGATAGTTCGAAAGGGATGACAATGCTGCTTGGCGAATGGTATACGAATTTCTACCTAAGCTAGAAGTTGAGATTTTAAGTTTTTTAAACCCCGTTGTCCTCTTAGGGAACAATTCAATTCCGAGGAAAAAGTAATAGGGCAATACTCTGTTTGTCCAAAAAAGTCCTTCATATTTCTCTTTTTTAGTTGTCCAATTTTTTTTAATTATATTTTCTTCATATTTCTCTTTCCATTTTCTTTCAAAAAAAACTGTTTAATTGGTCCATATTTGAACTTCTGAATCAATCTCAATTATCAAATAGAGAGACGTACAATTTATTCCCCTCGGCGTGGCCTCAATATCTTTAATAATCTTTCTCCACTTTCATGCACGTATCAATTCAATTGATGTCATCCTCCCCAATTCATCACAACTAATAGCGTAGGAGTACGTACTACTCTTTTTTAAATGGAATTCCACATTCATACATGTATACACTCCATTTTTTAATATATTTATACACACCCAAATATCATGTGTTTCTGCGTGTGTCTATATATATATATATATATATATATATATATATATATATATATATATATATATATATATATATATATATATATATATATATATATATATATATATATATAAAATTTACCTAAATAGGACTAAAACATAATGACTTCCCGATATAAGACCATATGTTTTTATTTCCCAATGTAGGACTTTTGGTCATTATCAAGTAGTCATTATTCAACTAAATGTCCATCACTACTAGACATTATTCCTTCCACTAGGTCATTATTAAGTCCTATTTAGGGAATAAAAAAATTCAAGTCCTACATTAGGGAAGTCATTATGTTTTAGTCCTATTTAGTACCAATTTTACATATATATATATATATATATATATATATATATATATATATATATATATATATATATCCTTCTCAACCCTACTAGCTAGATCACCTCATTCTTTCTTTCTTTCTTAATTACAAGTTAAGTCCCTTGGTTAATTGGTTGTGAGAGAAATTTAAAGAAAATAAAGAATGGGTGGAAGTGTGGTGGTGTTTGATTTCGACAAGACGATAATAGAAGTGGACAGCGATAACTGGGTGGTGGATAACCTCGGCTTCACTCATCTCTTCAACCGCCTTCTTCCCACCATGCCTTGGAACTCTCTCATGGTTAGTTATAACATTCCCTTTCATTTATTATTTATTTATTTATTTATTACTATTATTATTATTATTATTATTATTGTTATTGTTATTGTTATTGCAGGACAAAATGATGAATGAGGTACACGCGAATGGGAAGACGATAGAAGATATTAAGCAAGTGCTGGAAAAGGCACCCATTCATCCCCGCATTATCCCCGCCATTAAGTCCGCTTATGCCTCAGGGTAATTAATTAACTCCCTACGTACCTAGTGCTCTTTTAATATCATGAGTATGGACTCTCGCTGGAACCCGATTATATTAATTTAAATTATACTTCCTCCATCTCACTATATTTGTCCACTTTCATTTTTGCACACCATCCAATACACTTCTTTAATTCATTTTATCTTATAATTTGTATATTAAAAAATTATAGAAATTATATATTAATAATCTATATGTTAAGACAAATCAAACAAGATCACGCATGACTATATTTAGGCTTACACATTGAGAGAATTTGATGAGTCAAAGTTCTTAGATGAACAGTTCCAAAAGTCAAAAGTGGACGAATATAGCGGGACGGAGGGAGTAATTAAATATCCCCTCCGTCCGGATTTAATCTTCCCGTTTATGTTATTTATCCGTCCGGATTTAATAACCCACCTTTTTCCACTTTCTAAGTAAGGGCTTTTTGGACAAATCCATCCCATAGTTAACCTAGCTCCCTTAGAAAAAAAATTATTGAACGAAATAAATGTGATGGATGGATTGATCAGGTGTGAATTGAGAATAGTGAGCGATGCAAACCTGTTCTACGTTGAAACCATATTGAAGCATCACGGGATAAGAGAGTGCTTCACGGACATCAAAACCAACCAGGGCTATGTGGATGACAGTGGAAGGCTCAGAATCTTGCCTTTCCATCTCTCTTCTCATGGCTGCAGCCTTAATAATCTCTGCCCACCCAACATGTGCAAGGTAAGTGATTAACTATGCTCATTACTCATTACTTCCTTCAACTAACATTTGGTTCTAAACGAACTAACAGGGCAAGATCATGGAAGAGATTCAAGACTCATTGGAAAGGGAAGGGAAGAAGAAACGGATGATTTACCTGGGCGATGGGGTCGGCGATTTTTGCCCGAGCCTGAAGCTCAGACAGGGAGACTTTGTGATGCCCAGAAAAGATTTCCCCGTCTCCAAACTGATCAATGAAAACAGGAAGCTTTTGGAGGCAGAGGTTCATGAGTGGGCCGACGGGGAAGAACTTGAGCTCCTCCTGCTCCATCTCATCAACAGCATCTGCATACAAGAAGAGAACCAGTCATTGCCAGATGAGTCCCAGAAAATTTCAATCCTTTCTCCTGAGCCTACTCCTCAAGCCATTCCTGTACCTTTCTAGTGTTGTTGCCAATGCATGCATGGACAATAAGATCTTGCGAATGCTGTGATAATAAGTTTGTTGGTTTAGAAAGTGAATTTGTCTCCAAATCATTAGAAGTTTGAAGTAATAATAATATATTTACTAGATTAATATTGTTAACTACAATGAGACTTCTTAGGTCCTCATGATTTTAAGACAAGAACATATTCTACTTTCAAATCAAATCTTGAAAAGGGAGGGGAGTAGGGGTTTTCAATATGCTCAATGAAAAACTCTACAAGAGATTCTGGGCATAAATTTTCAAGAAACAATGAAACTCATTATCATATGGTGATTTAATTAATTAGCTCACTCAATATACACCACCATGAGTAAATTCAAATATCGTTAATTAATTAGCTCACTCAATATACACCACCATGGGTAAATTCAAATATCTAAGTTTACAGTGCTAAGAAGCAAGTGATAAAACCAGAAAACAATGATTTATTCTGTTTCGGACACGGCCAATTACACTTGAATATTCATTCATCTCCCCATCAAGGTTTGCACGGCTTGAGCATATATATGAACGCAGCCGTAGTTTCCTTGTGGTGAGCAAATACTATATAACGTAGTCTGACCATTGGGAAATAAACGAAGTATGATCCATGGACTCCCCGGGGACATCTTCATGAACACTGGGCTGTTCCTTCCCACCCACTAGCCTCGCAGGACTTCCAACTGCGGTGGTCCATGGTGGCACATCAATCAGTACCACAGATCCGGCGCCAATTTTAG